TGTCAGAACTGCATACCTGAGCACAGCCGTCCTTCATATTAATTACTTAAATGCTATATCGCTTAAGGTTTTTATGCAGCATTTTCCCCTCTGCCCCACAATTTCAGTCTATAACAATGGGCAACTAGCAGATACATTTGAAATGTTCACAAAGCTAACCTTTAAGAGAAGGATCAGGAGGGAGGAAAACCCCAATTAACATGGAATTGACCCAAGTAATGGCAGCTGTCTGGGCAGTCTAGTTCAGCCTGGAGAAGAAGAGATCAGGTTTAAGAGCACTGCCCGTAAGGCGGTGCCACTGCTCGCCCCACTCCTGGCTTCTTGCTCTCGGCCCAAAGCCCAGTTCGGAGTCTCTGTGACTAACGTCCTGTGTTTACCAGTTTAAGACTCTTGCCCTGTGAGATTCCACAAACTCTGGCAGTGAGGGCCCCAAATCTGCACAATAAGTTGTGGGATCACCCACAAAAACTCACCAAGGCCAACAGCTTCTTTCTTTCCCACCCTGGGACTAAAGAGGAAAGGAACAGAGAAGGTGGGTTCCGGTTGCTGTCCTACTGGCTGCCCAGCAATATAGCTCAAGCCTCCCCTTACAGGAGGTTTTTGACAAATTCTAAATTTTTATTGGTGAATATACACATGCAGAGACGTGCACATATCATAAATGTGCAACTAGCATGAGCCTCTCTCCAGACAGGAAATCTAACCCAGGTTATGTTCGATCCCAGGATGAGTCAGAGGGATCTTCCATGCAAAAACCCGGAAAACATGCCAGTAGTAGGGTGAGAAGAGCTTTAAGAGATTGCACAATGAAAGAACACTAGACAGCTGGTTCAGAACATTCTTATCTTGGGAGTGATTTTTTTTTTCCTTTTTGTCTTTTTTACTGACCAGTAACGGGATCGCAACCCTCAGTGTTGCGCCTGCACCGCGCTCAGCCAGTGAGCGGGAACCGGTCTCCACATGGGATCTGAACCCTCGGCGGGAGCGCCACCGTACTCCCAAGCGGCGCACTCTCCAGTGTGCCACCGGGCCGGCCCTTGGAGTGATATTTGGGGCAATAAATAAAATGCCAGAGGAAAGCAGATGTCTATTTATGAAAAAAGATATGTTATAACCCAAATCAGAAAAGATTTTTATCTAACTACATATGTCTGGTAAATATGCAGAAACCACAAAAGACGAGAAAAGTTGCCATTTGGTTACATTTTGGGGACGTTTCTGTCTCTGAGATGTAGCATGTAGGATCTGGCCCTGGGAGTAGACCAAGCTTCAGTCTAGCTCCGCTGTGCCCCAGGCACACGCTGTCTCCAGCCTAGGTCTGAAAGGCGAAGATTGTCATATCCTCCTCGAAGGGACAGATATAGAGGTGATGGAGCAGTAGTAATAGCCACAGGCCCACAATAAATGTTCCCTGTTTTCTGTAAATGTGAAATCAAAGGAGAATAAAACAGAGATGGTTCCTACCAAGGTGGAGCTGGGCTCGGGAAAGCACCCTGGTGGGACTCAGCCTCACTGATGGACCCTTTCTCATTCCAGGGAGAGGTCCCTCCACGGTGGTATCCTTCTGCGGCACCCCCCACTCGCCAGACGGCCTCAGAGGGCCAAGTTGCTGGACCAGGGCAGTCAGCGCTGGGCCACTTTTGTCCCTTTACACCCCACCCCTACCTTTTCCATAGCTCTGATTAGTAATTCCACTTTTAAGAGGGAGGGGTGGTCCCTGACAGATTTAGAGAGTTGGTTTAACTTCCTCTCAGGGGGGCATGCAGGCTCCATCACCCACCTGCCCAGCCGCTTCCCGCCACAGGCGCACCCAGGAGGCTGCCGAACTAGCTAAGCGCTGAGCTCCACCTGCCGCCCGCCGGCCACCGAGGCAGCAAGATGAAAACCCTTCACTTTGGATGGCCATAGACTCATTTTAGTGTAAACAAACGTGGTGTGTACAGAGCTCAGGAAGTCACTAGTGGGTATTTAACTGCCCCCAAACAGAGGGAAATGTATTTTTTCTGAAGGAAATGAGAAAGTCATTTTTTTCTCTCTAACTCATAATGGGGGCCACCACGGTCAGGGTGACATCACCCAGGAGCACCGGCATGTGGAAGCCGTCCTCCTGCCAGTCCTGCCTGCAGTCACTCAAACCCTGCTCTGTCGGGGATGGGAGGAAGGGTCCCAGCCTCGCCCTCATGCCCCCTGGGGGCCCTGCCAGCTCACATGACCACATCAGGAACAAAGGTCGAGATGGAAGCCCCAGATGGGCAGGAGCCGGTGGCCAGGTCTCCATGGCCACCTGTGCGTGCCCATCTGCCGGAGCCTAAGCTGGATCTGCATGTTTGCAGCTACCGAGCAGATGGCAGACCAGCCCCTCTTGTTTGGCCACCTGGGTAGGGGCCCCCAAGCCCACTGAGCTAGAGGATCCTTAACCACTTACCAGCTCTCGTCGGTTCCTCTTCAAATGCTGTTTTACCTCAGTGGGACGTACTACGCCCTGTATTTCCTCGCCACGCTCCTGATGATTATTTATAAAAGTAAGTCATGAACGGAAGGTTTGCTGAAGAGTTGCCGCTGCCACCTCCAGTAACTCGCGTCTGGTCTGTGCCATGTTCTTTAGGTCAAGTGTTCAGCTACCCTTGCAACCACCTGCTCCTCGACCTGACGCTGCTTTTTCTGATGGCAATTCTGGAAGCAGTTCGGTTATACTTGGGTGAGTTGACTGAAAACTACAAAGTACTGGTGATAACAGAGTTGCTATCTTAAGTGTTCTGAACCTTTAAATATTAGCCATTTTATAATATGGTTATTGGAGACATTTTTATCCACACTGCTCAGCCAGTTGCTTGGCAGGTGTTGCTTGACAGTGTCATTAAGTATTAATTGTTTATTCAGAAACTTTGTCCCAGAGACAGACAACTGGTGGCACCCTCGGGAGAGACCCTTCTAGTTTGGAAGCATAGCCCCTGGCCGCTAGGTAACATGGGAAACCCAGCCTAGCCATCAAACCTGGAGCTCCAAAATATTCCCCGGCACCCCTTCCTTCCAGTTGGCCTCAGCCACCTGAGGAGAAGGCATGGCAAGTTCTGTCAGGTGCCCCCCAGTCCAGCTCCGGGGGCCCCAAGTCTGTGACCACTTCACGTGCCCTCTCTTAGCCAAGTCCTTTCTTTAACCCCACAGTTCATTCAAGGTCATGTTCTTTTTTTTTTTTTTTTTTTTTTTTTTCGTGACCGGCCACGGGATCGCAACCCTCGGTGTTGCTCCCGCCCCTCGCTCAGCCAGTGAGCAGCCGGTCTGTATGTGGGATCCGAACCCTCGGTGGGAGCGCCACTGCGCTTCCCAAGCGGCGCACTATAACAGTGCGCCACTGGGCCGGCCCCAAGGTCATGTTCTTGCACAAGACTCAAGGAGAACAGAAATAAAACGTGGAAAACCCCTTTCACAGAGCTGCCTGCTGTGAGCAGCGAGGGTCCGGCCTGCAGCCCTGGCCCTTCCCCTCCTGTGCTCACGGTCACAGGCATGTGCACGCAGCACATCTGTTTCTCCTGCAGAGTGGCACTGTGCTTGTTGCCCTGCCACTGGGGATGTGGCAGCAGCACTTCCAGGGCACCTTGTGCCTGCTGGGCTCTGGTCTAAGACCCCTTGGGACACACACACCCCTTGTGATACCTGATGTACAGTGAGGAAACCGAGGCACACATGGAGGTTGGGCCCCTGCCCTTGCTCTTGTCATCAGACCTCGGACTCCACTAGGTGGGTGTAAGTGAGTTTCCTCAGCCGTCAATCTTACGCAGAGGGGCTCGGGCCGCGGTGCCTGCACACCCGCGGTGCTGGAGCTTGGGCAACCTGCCCCAGGAGGGTGCACATGCTGCACTTGGACAGAGACTTGGTTCTTGGCCAGCCCTTCAAGGGGCCTTGGGCCTGCCTTGCCCCATAGGGGCTGTTAGGGCCCCAAGCACATGTCACACTGAAGGCTCTCAGGGCTCCTTGGGCAGCTGGGGGCAGCTGGGGCTTGGCACTTTTCATTTGTTTGTCAAACGTGTAGTTTTGTCTTTTATGAGTATCTGTGAAATTTTCCAGAACTGGCCTTAACCCAGAGTGAAATATTTTTGGAAGTTTTATTTTTATTTATTTTTTTATTCCTTTTTGTCTTTTTTTTACTGACCGGTAACGGGATCGCAACCTTCGGTGTCACACCCGTACCGGGGACCGGCAACGGGATTGCAACCCTCGGTGTTGCGCCCGCACCACGCTCAGCCAGTGAGAGGGAACCGGTCTCCACATGGGATCCGAACCCTCGTCGGAAGCGCCACCGCGCTCCCAAGCAGCGCACTCTCCAGTGCGCCACCGGGCCGGCCCTATTTTTGGAAGTTTTAACAAAATCCCTTCAGTCCCACTTGTAATTAGGAAAGGTGGCAGATATTCTTAGGATTGTTTTACATACCAGACTGTCCCCAACCAGCACAGCTGACCCAGACAGATCCAGCCACGTGCTCCGCTGCAGAGGCTTCTCTCAGGGAGGAGCACTCCCCACCCTGCCCTTTGCTCTCTGGCACTTCCGAGTCCCAGGTGGTGGCCGCGGTGGGCTGTGTCCTGGAGGATCGTGGCTGCAATGAGCTCATATTGGTCCTCAGCAGCCACCCTCCCTGGGCACCACAGGCCATGGGTCCTGGGTGGGTGGTGGGTCCCGGCATGTCCTGCAGCCCCCACCTCACTCACCATGTTTGTTCGGTCCTCCAGGCACGAAGGGAAACCTGACAGAGGCCGAGGTGCCTCTGGCTGCCAGCCTGGCCCTCACAGTGGGCAGCATCCTCCTTTCTGTGCACTTCCTGCTCTGGCAGACTCTGGTGCTGTGGGCAGACTCGGCCCTCAGCGCCACGCTCCTGGCACTCCACAGCCTGGAGGCCGTCCTGCAGGTGGTCGCCATTGCCTCCTTCGTCAGGTAGACGTGGCCCAGGACAGCCCCACGCGGGGCCCAGCCCCCACTGTCACCTCCCCCACTGCAGATGGTTTTGGATGGTTTACAGATCTGTTTTGGCAGGGGTGGGGGGCTAGGAACTAGGACAGAACAAACTGCTTGGGGCCCAGGTGTTGGGAACAGCCGCAGGGTGGGGCGGGGGCATCCACATAGGCCCGTCAGTGGGGACCTGGTATCGGCCTGGCCGGCACTGACCCCTAGGCTGAGAAGGAAGATAAAGCCCTTCAGAAAGGAGCCTTCAGCAGTCACACCAGCCAGCAGGCAGCCCAGCAGCTCCACGTGGTCACCGCCCCCAGAGAATCGGCTTCCTGGCAGTTTCTGCAGGAGCGTGGGCCACCCGGTTAGTCCCCATGGGAGCCAGTCAGGACCACGTGTTTTCTGTTCTATCGCCCACTTGTTGCATGGCATTTCTTGGCATCCTACACTGTCCACACTGGTCCTGATTCATGTTTTGAGAGCCCAGTCCACTCTTGCCAGGCCCTGCACCAGGATGGGACATCTGTGCCCTCAAGAAGGTGCTCTCCTGAGGGGCCAGAGCTGCAACAGGGGTGGGTGCTGTGTGCCCGGTGCCTCTCAGTGCCCCTTGGATCCTGGCTCAGGGTCAGGCAGGCCCTGGAGGAAATGGTGTGCACTAATTTCCAAAAGAGTAAATGCAAACCAGCCGGCTCTAGTGTGTGGGGTGTTTTCACCTCAGCCACAGTCCTTGGAGAACAGCTTCAGTTAAAACTTGAGTAACATTTGTGCTTAGTGCTAAACAAATTCTATCTTGTGATTTTTTTTCCCATTCACAGATTTGCTGTAAGTGCTCCCTAAAGTGTCTGTGCTGATGCTTTATAGTAGGTTTCTGTCATTTGTTTCTGTTGTGCATTTTCTGTGTTTGGAATAGCATGTTCAAATGCCTAGATGTCTTCTCTTCACTGTATTTTATTTAATAAAGAAGTGTGTATATCTCCACGAATTTCTCCTAATCATGGCCACCCACCTCCCCCAGGGTTCTTCTTCAGTACAAAAGAGCATGCCCCCCCCTGCAGGCTGCGTCACCCCGTCCCGGGCCTGCTGCCATCCTCCAAGTGCCTCAGCGGGAGCAGCAGCGACGGAGCACCCTCGGTGGCCTCTTCTCGTGGGAGTGAGTGGGAACTCCAGTTGCTCCTTGGATGACTTCTTTGACCTGCGGCCCCTGGGGCCCCCTGCAGGACAACCTTGAGAACCTGCTTTCCAGCTACTTGTGCCTGAGCAGCAGACCCCCATGCCAGTGTGGGAAGGGCCTGGTGCTCCAGAGCACTTCGGGCCGCTCCCTTGCCAGCATCCCTGTAGCCCCCGGCACTCACCGCCTGGACTTGGGGAGGGTGGGGTGGTGCTCTCACTGCCTGGGGACATGGCCAGCCTGCCCTGCAGACCAGGGCGGAAGCCTGCTGCCCTCAAACTTTATGGATCTGAACCACGCACCTTTGACACCCCGATCTTGCTGGCTGCACAAAGGCAGTGGTCACCTGTTCCATAGGGGACACCATGGCTCCAGACAGCCAGAGGCACACAGCAGCCACTTCTGACCCACCCAGGCTCAGTACTCACGATCTGAGATCTGACCGATGAGCACAATTTTAGGAATGGAGAGGTACCCCCCAGCCATGCACCCCTGCGATGCATGTTTCCCACTCTGCGCAGTCCCTGCTGTGCCTCCAGGAAGGGCGAGGTCTCAGGTGTGTGTGCCCTCCCCTCCCCACAACGCTAAGCGCTGGGTCGGGGCACAGCTATGGGCTGAGCAGGATCTGCGGGTTTTGTGAGATCACACACAAAGGCCATAAACCAGGAAGCCAGGCCTTGCCCAGGCCTGGAGCAGGCGCTGGGCCTGGAGGATGGAGGATGAAGGCCAGTTCCTGCCACCCCTCCAGCAAGCTCACGGGGGTTGTGCCAGAGTACAGGCGGGGCAGGTGGCCTTGCTGCAGGAAAGGGCAGTGGGGGCAGAGCACCTTCCTCCCCAGCGGCCCCCAGGAAGTGCTCCATGCCAGCCCAGGACAAACACACCAGCGGCCCTGCCCTTCTGGGACCACGGCCCTGTGACCCCTGCCTCACAGACAGCACCCATTTCCGCTGCCCCCACCTCAGGTACAACAGCCGAAGAATTTAGGTCCCTGCCTGGGGGTGCCCGGCCATGGCTCAGGCCTGCTCTCTGCCCCCTCCTCCACCTCCTGCTCACTTACCAGCCAATGTCACCTGCACTGTCTGTCTGCTGCACGCTGGCCTTGTTCTGAGAAGTCAGAGCAGCTGGGGTGGGCAGGGGTCAGGAGGAGGGCAGAACCAGACGGCCTGATGCATGCAGCCTAAGGAGGGGCATGCTACAAGGAGAGGGCTACCCCAAGACAGCACGCACACAGGGACAGCCGAGGCCACAGGGGCCCCCACCCTCCCACCTGACACCCCATTCCTCAGGGGATGGCCAGGCTGGGCTGGGTGTCCAGAGGACGAGGGGGCTTTGGGAGCTCCTGGCGTGCGCAGGAGGGAGTCCCCCGTCTGGGGAGCTCAGGGCCAGGGGCCTACTGCTCACATCCAAGCACAGACTGAAGCCTCTGCCCAGTGTTCCTGGGAACAGACGGGGCAGCTGACAAGGGGAGGCCCTGACCTCCCCAGAGCCGGTTCTTGGGGCACCAACCAGGGCTGCCCCTGCCGGCATGGCCTGCCCTGCGCAAGGACGAGCTCGGGGCCCC